CAGCCCCATAGACCATTTGGAACCCAGGTACATGCCGTCGCCAAATACATATCTGAAATCCAGTTAAAGCTACGGTACTATTATTTATTTACATTTTCATGCAGCGCATTTTGTTTGTTGTGTTTTTTTATTCAAACACAGTTAATATAAGTACATTTATATTCAATAAATGTATAAGGTATAATACAGTGTTGGAAAGTTTAATGTGAACATTGAGCAGCTCTTTTTTTGTTGCATTATTGCACATTTATGTTGAATCCATTTTTATCTGGAAAGTTTAGCGCTTTAGTTCATCCACTGCTTTTGCAGTTGCTTGAACAAAGAGTTCAATTATTAAATACATTTTAGCATGATTTCCGGTATTGGTCAATATCGGTATCGGCAGATACCCATAGCTCTGGTATCGGTAGTAAAAAAGCTGGATCGGTGCATCTCTAGTTATAGCCAACAAAAGGTATTGAGTTGAATTTTTGTTATTGACCAAATATTTATTTTCCACCATACATTGGGGCAAAAAAGTATTTAGTCAGCCACCAATTGTGCAAGTTCTCCCACTTAAAATAATGACAGGTCTGTAATTTTCATCATAGGTACACTTCAACTGTGAGAGACAGAATGTGAAAAAGAAATCCAGGAAGTCACATTGTAGGATTTTTTAAGAATTTATTTGTAAATTATGGTGGAAAATAAGTATTTGGTCAACAAGGAAGATCTCTGGCTCTCACAGACCTGTAACTTCTTCTTTAAGAAGCTCTTCTGTCCTCCACTCGTTACCTGTATTAATGGCACCTGTTTGAACTCGTTATCTGTATAAAAGACACCTGTCCACGGCCTCAAACAGTCAGACTCCAAACTCCACTATGGCCAAGACCAAAGAGCTGTCGAAGGACACCAGGAAAAGAATTGTAGACCTGCACCAGACTGGGAAGAGTGAATCTACAATAGGCAAGCAGCTTGGTGTGAACAAATCAACTGTGGAAGCAATTATCAGAAAATGGAAGACATACAAGACCACTGATAATCTCCCTCGATTGCAAGATCTCATCCTGTGGGGTCAAAATGATCAGAACGGTGATCAAATATCCCAGAACCACACGGGGGGACCTGGTGAATGACCTGCAGAGAGCTGGGACCAAAGTAACAAAGGTTACCATTAGTAACACTACGACGACAGGGAATCAAATCCTGCAGTGCCAGACGTGTCCCCCTGCTGAAGCCAGTGCATGTCCAGGCCCGTCTGAAGTTTGCCAGAGAGCACATGGATGATACAGCAGAGAATTGGGAGAATGTCATGTGGTCAGATGAAACCAAAGAAGAACAGTTTGGTATAAACTCAACTTGTCGTGTTTGGACACCGAGTTGCATTCCAAGAACACCATACCTACTGTGAAGCATGGGGGTGGAAACGTCATGCTTTGGGGCTGTTTTTCTGCTAAAGGGACAGGGCGACTGATCCGTGTTAAGGAGAGAATGAATGGGGCCATGTATCGTGAGATTTTGAGCCAAAACCTCCTTCCATCAGTGAGAGCTTTGAAGATGAAACGTGGCTGGGTCCTCCAGCATGAGAATGATCCCAAACACACCGCCCGGGCAACGAAGGAGTGGCTCCGTAAGAAGCATTTGAAAGTCCTGGAGTGGCCTAGCCAGTCTCCAGATCTCAACCCCATTGGAAATCTGTGGACGGAGTTGAAAGTCCATGTTCACTGCTCTCGAGAAGATCTGCATGGAGGAATGGGCCAAAATACCAGCTACTGTGTGCGCAAGCCTGGTAAAGACCTATAGTAATCGTTTGACCTCTGTTATAGCCAAAAGGTTATATTACCAAGTATTGAGTTGAATTTTTGTTATTGACCAAATACTTATTTTCCACCATAATTTACAAATAAATTCTTTAAAAATTGTACAATGTGAATTCCTGGATTTTTTTTTTTTTCACATTCTGTCTCTCACAGTTGAAGTGTACCTATGATGAAAATTACGGACCTCTGTCATTATTTAAAGTGGGAGAACTTGCACAATCGGTGGCTGACTAATTTTTTGCCCCACTGTATTTGCAAATGATGGTGGAAAATAAGCATTTGGTCAATAATAAAAGTTAATCTCAATACTTTGTTATATAAGCTTAGTTATCAATGACAGAGCTCAAACGTTTTCCGTACGTCTTCACAAGGTTTTCCCACACTGTAGCTGGTATTTTGGCCCATTCCTCCTGCAGATCTCTAGAGCAATGATGTTTTGGGGCTGTCGCTGAGACACGGACTTTCATCTCCCTCCAAAGATTTTCTATGGGGTTGAGATCTGGAGTGGCTAGGCCTCTCAAAGACCTTGGAATGCTTCTTACAAAGCCCCACTTATGTTTCTCGGACGGTGTGTTTGGGATCCTTGTCATGCATGATCATCGTCCCTTTGTAAAATCCTCTTAGATAACTACAGTTGGGATGTAGGGCGATACGTTATGCTAGTTAGTTTGAAATAGTTTAAGTAATAAAACATTCGCCATATTGTTCCTAATTAACATTCAAGACAATGTAAGGGGTCGTCGCATAGCTCATTGGGGATGGTTCACATTACTTATTTCGGTAGGTGCAAAAAGGGTGGTAAGTTAACATTTGCTATATGTGTTTTTAAACTTTTTATGCATGTTGTGTGTTTTTGTTTGACTGACTTGCACCCTGGCTCCCCAGGTGACTGGACCATCAAGACACCTGCACCTTGAGCATAAAAGCGGAGATGGGGAAGGGAGGAAGCTGGAGACACGAGCCAGACACTTTGAGGGGAGAGCCCCGTGGTCAAGACAATGGGCCTCATTCACGAATAACTTCGTAAGAAACTTCTCAAATTTCTTCTCAAGTTGTCCTTAAGTAGATTTCTAAGAAGTCCCTACGTGGGATTCATCAACGCACTCGTAAGCCGCTGAATTGTTCGCAGCTGTTCTCTTAGATTGATGAATCCCCTTTCCTCGTAAGTAGAGCGCGCGTGCCAGGTGCTTCATTAGCATAGGTACTTAGCATTAGTAACCGCCCACTAATGCCCATATAAGGGACTGCAGGGCCGTGTGCAGACGCCAGAAGAAACGGCAACAGGCCTAAAGCAAAGAGTTACACGGAGCAAAAGAGTCACCCTTTTTTCTTCTTTTGCCAGACTGAGAATAAAGTTATAAAATGTTGACTTAAAAGTCGAAATATTATGATAATAAAGTCGAACTAGCAAAATTATTAGATTAATCTAAGAACAGATGAGATTAATCTCAAAATGTTATGAGCTTAATTTAAAAATATATTATGTATTATTTTAAAGATGAATCTCAAAATGTTATGAGCTTAATTTAAAAATATATTATGTATTATTTTAAAGATGAATCTCAAAATGTTTTGAGATTAATCTCAAAATATTTTGGACCCTGGGAGGAGATCCAGCGCGGACCAGCGCTGAGACCAATGCAGACCCGAGGAGAGACTGGAGTGACCAGCACACAGAAACCAGCGCGGACAGGAGAGACCGCATAGACTGGAGTGACCTGACTGGAGAGACCGGTGCGCAGAGACCAGCGCGGACCGAAGAGAGACCGCATAGACCAGACTTGAGAGACCAGCGCGGACCCCTATGGATCCAGGAGCATGCAGCACGGACCCGTATGGAGAGACCAGTGCAGACCCGTCTAGAGCCATGGGAGAGACCAGTGCAGACCCGTCTAGATCCATGGGAGAGACCAGTGCAGACACGTCTAGAGCCATGGGAGAGACCAGTGCAGACCCGTCTAGATCCATGGGAGAGACCAGTGCAGACCCGTATAGATCCATGGGAGAGACCAGTGCAGACCCGTATAGATCCATGGGAGACACCAGCGCAGACCCGTATAGATCCATGGGAGAGACCAGTGCAGACCCGTATAGATCCATAGGAGAGACCAGCGCAGAGACTCAGCGCGGACCCCGCAGCCTCCTGCAGCAGCAGTATATATGCCGTTGTTCTGTGGCCCGTGGATAAAGAAATGCCCCCTATAAATAGGAAGGGGTCACTAATACACGGCAAGATTTCCAATGTATTTGATAAAGCGTTGGCACATTTCATTTCAAAATGAATTAAAAAAGTAGGCCAGATCTGCAGTGAAAAAGGCGGTATATAAATAAAGATTACTACAAATAAATAAATACATACATCGATATGACATATCACTGGAATGTTGTATTTTTATTAAACTTCACCAAAGAGGACAACCCCGGCGTGTGAACATGTCGGCACTGAATGCGTACGAGTGCTCCTGAGGACTCGTAGGATTTGTACTTGCCCAAGAGAAATTCTTGTTACGAGAAAAATTCGTGAATGCCTCTTTCTTCGTAAAAACCTCGTAAGTAGGATTTACGTACAAATCTGTTCCTAAGAACCGTTCGTGAATGAGGCCCAATGTTTTTTTTTTAGCCTCCGTTTATAACTTAGGTTTTTATTGCTTATTATTCTTTTACTTGTTTTTCATGTGTTTTATAATAAATTGTTTTTAATTTGCTTTTAATCCAGTGGTCTCCTTTTAAAACTGGGTCCAAAAAACCTGTTTTACCACATCTAAGCCAGACTCTGGTTCAGATCAGCGATACTGTTAAAAAACACAAACAGAACTGAATAGTACCTTTATTTGAGGAAAGCCAAAAAATGAAACTTGATCTTTAACTGTTGAACGACAGTGACAGCAGAAATGAAATGTGTGTGTGTGTCGTGGTTTTTCCGTTTGTTTAAAATGTATTTTTATTCATAAGAAAAAACAAAACATTGCAGTCATCTTTAACACCTTTTTTTCCAGACCAAACCATTGGACAGGATTCTTGAATGCTCATCTCTCAACAAAACCAGAGAACTGTGAAAGAGTTCAAATATTCCTCTCACCAGAAGTTTAGTAATGAAACAGCTCTCTGCTTTATTCCAATGCACAAGAGAACAGTTTTAAATGGCTCATACCTCTCATTTTCTAGGTCTCACCCCTCTCATTCACTGGGCCTCAACCCACCTCACTTACTGGGCCTCACCCCCTTCTCCTTCTTGAACTGCTCGATCTGACTGAATATGTCCAGCAGGTTTGTGGGGAGCTCCTTCTTGGGCCCCTCACTCCTCGTGTCATCATCCCCTTTGGCGTTGCTGCTGCTTGCCTCTTCTGTGTTCCTTCTTTCATACTTACCACTTTCCATCGAGCTCCTTCTCGACGTGTCACGATTGGCAAGTTTCCGGCTGTCGTTTGGAAAACTGGACCGGCGCGAGTGCGAGTCCGCTGAGGAAGTTGAGATGTGTGATGCATCTGTTTCAAAGTCCTTCCTACTGAAATCGCTCTTTCTGCCATTTCCATTATTGTCTTTCCAACTATTCCCCAGTTTTTGCTTTGCTTCCACCTCCCTCGATAAAGACCTAGTTCTATCCTTCGCAAACACGTCTCTGGCTGCAAACCCAGGCCCTTCTCTTTGGTTCAGGAAGGTTCCGGATATTATGGGAGGTGCGTCCCACTCCACCTCCTTGCCATCTTCTTGCTCGCCGTGTTTGTCGCTTCTACAGCTCTCTTTGGAGGAGATTCGGCGTTGGCGCTTGCTAGCCCTGTGTTTTTTCTTCTTTTTCTTTTTCCTCGATCTGCGATGGGAGCCGGAGCTGGAAGACGAGGAGGAGGATTTGCTGGATGATGAGGAGGAAGACGAGGATGTAGAGCGTTTGCGTTTTTTCTTCAGCCTGAAAAAGACGTCACACTGACAAGTTACAAACCGGAAAACTGTTTTTACGATTCAGTGGTTTCCAATACGTTTCTACTGCAGACCAAGTTTCTGGATTGCACAGAATCACATTCGAGTAAATAATATTTGACCTAAACCTGGTATGAAATGAACATAACTGTTCCTTAGCTTTGCAAACATCCGTCCATTCATTTCTTCCTCCGTTGCCGGATTGCGGGAGAAGCAGTCTAAGCAGAGATACCCAGATTTCCCTATTCACGCCCTGAGACCCCAAGGCATTCCCAGGCCAGCTGAGAGACCTAGTCCCTCCAGCGTGTCCTGGGTCTTCCCCGGGGTGTCCTCCTGGTGGGACATGCTCGAAGCACCGGACGGTTTTGCCAGAACCTCTTTGAGGCCGGCTAATAGTCATGCTCTATGGACTCTCCGAACTCCTCCCAGTCACAGGTTTTTGCCTCTGCAACAGCCCGGGCTGCAGCACGCTTGGCAGCTGGTACTGGACAACCACCTCAGGAGTCCCACGAATCATAATGGCTCAATAGTACTCCTTCAGCCTGATGGCATCCTTACTAAAAAAAACTACTAAAAAAATAAACATTACTACTGGTGTCCACCACCGGGTTCGGGGGTTGCCACCAGTACCAGCACCAGAAACCTTGCGACCACAGGTATGAGCCGCTGGATCGACGATAGAGGTGGAGAACATGGTCCACTCAGACTCAATGTCCCCTTTCAACCCCGGGACCTGGGAGAGTTGAAAGTCCATTTGACAGGGGACTCAGCAAAACGTTCCCAGCAGACCCTCATTACACACTTGGGTCTGCCAGGTCTGACCGGCTTCCCCCAATGCCAGCGGATCCAACTCATGACCAGGTGGTGATCGGTTGACAGCTCCACCCTTCTCTTCACCCGAATGTCAAACACACGTGATCGAAAGTCGGATGACACGACAACAAAGTCGATCATCGACCTCCGGCCTAGGGTGTCCTGGTGCCACGTGCACTGATGGACACCCTTGTGCTCGAACATGGTGTTCGTGATGGACAATCTATGACTAGCACAGAAGTCCAACAACTGAACACCGCTCGGGTTCAGATCAGGGCCGTTCTTCCCAATCACCCCTCTCCAAGTGTCACTGGCGTTTCCCACATGGGCGTTTAAGTCCCCCAGGAGAATAATGGAGTCCCCAGCTGTGCAAATTGAGGGATTTTATCTTTACTCTTTTTAATGTACAGTCATTATTTATGTATTTATTTTTACTTGAATGCCTTGATTGTTTCTATCCTGTTTTGTTAAACACTGTGCAATACAAATAAACTTGCCTAGCCTAGTTGTGCTCTCTTACAGGGAAGAGAAGTTTCTTACATTGGATAGCTGTATATCATTTGATTTATTTTAATTTTGGAAGTGTAACGTGTGTACCTTTTTGATCTCCCTAAATTTGTGACTTTTTGTATCAATAGTTATTTCTTTGTCACTATTTGAGAAATCTCAAGCTCTGACACTGCTGTGAGACTGTACAATTCTCATGTATTCACACTGCTCTATTCACTTTTAATTTGAATTATACATAATATACGTTGTGCAATGTGTCAACGTTTTGTACATTTCCTTTCATTTAAACACCCCGAGTTTATCATATTTATGCCAAAAGTGACACGTAAATTTCTCCATTATGAGATTAATAAAGTTTCTCATCACACTGTTTACCATTAGCAGTTAGCCTTTTTTTTTTGCTCTTTTTCAAGTTTATATTCAGCAGTTTTAGCACTTATTTAAAGTGAGTTAAGGGTAAAAAACATTAAACTACTAACTTAATTTACTTACTTAAAATCTAAATAATTTAAAGTAAGTGAAAAATATTTTCAGAATCCCAATGGTTTGAATGGGAGCAGTCAAAATGAAGGATCTGGAGTTTCAAAATTCTGGGAGTCTTAAGTGTTAAAAACTTGAAGTATTAGTTTTGACACAAAAATCTTAGTTTATTCATAAAAATCCTTCATAAACAATCCAAAAGAGAACTCTAGCCCGAGACATAATTGGGTCAGAAAGCCCAAGCTTAAGCTTGTTATTTGTTCCCGCACCCTATCACAGGCCAAATTAGAGTATGAAGTAAAAAGCTGGGGATGCTTTAAATCCATACGTAGAAGATTTTTGTCTGGATTAGAAACTTTCTCAGGTCATATGGCCCTGACCAGTGGAGTGCCACAAGGGTCAATCCTGGGACCTCCTCTATTCTGTCTCTACTGAGTAGAGTTCGGTCTGTTAACACAGCCACAGCGTGTTCTACAGGAGAATATGGATAAGACCCAGTCCTACAACAGGACATGGACCAGACTAAGTCCTACAGGAAGACATGGACCAACTAAACCAAAATACTTCATCCAAAGTTGGACAATAGTTATTGCATGGTCAAGAGAAGCATGAACATTCACTTTCAGACTTTCTACTAAAAACTTACAAAACCAGGTTAGAGATATAGGGGAAATATTGGACTCAGACTTGAAGGAAGATATGTTTTTGTTCAAAGGTTGTCCAATGCTTTGTCCAATTATCCATGAGGTTTTAACTTAACTTTCAACACTTACCTCTTTTCGTCTTTTAAGATCTTACGCAACTTGTCAGCGCTTGTGGTCTGACTGTTCTTGGCTTCTTCCTGCTCCTTCTCCTTTGCCATGGCTTCTTCCCTCAAGCGGATGGATTTCTTCACGTCCGCAGCACCATTTTTTTTTCAAAAACGTGGTGCACAAGGCCAATTTTTTTCAACGTACAAAAGCGTGCAAATTTAAAGACATGCAGTATTGAAACCCAGTGAGACATTCATGCCATGTGTTAGTCATTGAGTGAAAACGTGACGAGGACCATGTCAGCAATGAGGTGTTAGTTTGATTATAGAATAGAGAGAGATGGATCAGGGACAGAGAGGTGGAAGAAGAGAGAGAAAGCGAGAGAGAGCAGAGTTGGTGATGGATCAGGGACAAACAGAGGTGATAGAAGAGAGAGAGAAAGAAAGAAGGAAGTTGGCGATGGATCATAGACAGGTGGTGAGAGAGAGATGGGAGAACAGTGTGATCATTAGAGAGATGTTTCCCCAGAGACACAAGAGGTTTTACCGCATTGTAAAGTTTGTGTCCGCGAGGTCCAGTTGAAGTGGTGTTCGTTCATTTTTGTTGTCAGCAGTAGCGTTGATTTTTGCATTTTTTTGGTTTTTTTTTTTTGTCCCAGTTGACGCACAAAGGACAAGTCCATCGACACCGCAGGGTGACAGGAAGGGCACAGACGAAAACACTCCATCAGAATTACACAGTGGGAAAGAGCATTCCAGAAAGAAATGTTATAGTAACCTGAATTAACATTAAATACTTGAGCTATCAACTGATCCTTTAGTCTGGATTTATGTGTTTTTTATCATTGCATTTCCTGTGTTTGAACCATTTGATTCTCATTTGTTGGCAAATCGATGGCTTTGTAAAGTCCCCCAAGATAATTACTGTTGTGATTTAGGGTGATATTAAAACAAATTGAATAGGATAGAAGAGCAACCTTCTATACCAGAGTGTGTCAGAGATTAGAAGCGTAACGTAGAACTTTGAGCTACTTGCTGTCAAATAGGACTTTATCTCTATTTGACAGAGGGAGGTCGTCTTTGTTTACTCTTGTCTATTTAATGTCCAGCAGTTTCCTCATTCGGGGTGGTGTGGGTGACGTTTGTCCTTGAATATTAGCTCACCTGTATCATCAGGGTGATTCTGTTGAGAGCGTCCTGTGCCTCAGAGTTGGTTTCATCTAACGACAGAGATTTTCTGTACAGTCCCTCTGCGGTAACCAGCTTCTCCTGCTCCTCCAGCCTGAAAACAAGAGAAGAGAAGAAGCCTGAAAAGAGAAAAAGTCCTTCTTTTGTAGCAATTAATTCTATTGGTCAATTGACTTTGGCCAATTGACCATATAGGATGGTCCTCCCTGTCCACTAGGAGGCAGTGCCATTGGTACACTTATTTACAAGGCTCTTCTAGGACTACCTTCCTCTAATCTATGTACATTATTCTCACAGAGGACTAGAGTCTTGGACTACAGAGTCTTATGCACTGACGTCCAATGATCAGCCGTTGCTGACCGTGCCTTTTTGTCCACACAGAGTTGTACATTCAGCTCCTTCTACTTGGTCAGCTTCCAGTCTAGCTGGAGCATGTTCCAAGTTAATATCCTTGAACACTTAAGTTATTGAGATGGCCTCAATTACCTGTAATTTTTACTTGATATGTGTACCCGTCATTTTAATTACATTGTATCTGTCTGTTGTATTTATGTGTAACTTTGCTGCCTCTTGTCCAGGACTCCCTTGAAAAAGAGGTTTTTAGGGATTTTAGGGATTTTTCCCGGTTAAATAAATGTAAAAAAGTCAGATGGGGTGGAGTGGAGGTGAGTGCATCCAGGAGCGAAATATTTACAGGATTATTGTACCTGTTTAGATCCATGAGAGCAGTTTTATTGAACCTATTATTTCCCAAAGCCACTGTTTGTGACTGTAGTAGTATTAGATTTTACTGCAGTATTATACTGCAGAAGTGTTACTTCTGTCCCAATCACAAACAGGATTAACAGGTTCTTCAGAATGCCAGAGCTGTTTTAACTATTAGACTGTAAATATTAACAAACTTTGTCACGCCTATCTCCACCGTTGAAACAAAAGTCCAATCTCTTCGCTTTTATGGGGCTTTTTCAAAATGGCTGTGGGCAGAGTCTTACCGCCGGCCTGGCACAGGTACTTACTGTCGGCCTCGCTCCACCAAGGTCTGACTCAGGTACTTCCTGGCGTTCCTGTGGTCAGGGCAGGTCTCCAGGGCCAGCTCAAAGTCACTGATGGCCTTCACCAAACTGCCTTTGTTGGCGTAACTGGGGAAACAGAAACACAGGGGATATTAAGGTACACAAACTGCGGGACACAGGGAGAGATACAGACACAGAGACAGAGAAACACACAATCTCAGACAGAGACATTACACACAACCTCAGAGAAACACACACACACACACTCACAGCGCCCCTCGTGCCACCAGAGCCTCCACGTTGTTGTTGTCGATGTCCAGAGCTTTGTTGAACTCATTCATAGCTTCAACGTGACGTTCGTTTTTGAAGTGATCAACGCCCAAGCGAACGCTGCAACCAGAGACGCATGATTTATTTATATAGCAATTATCACAAGGCCATAAAGCCCTGTCCCCAAAGCAGAACACAGAAATGTACTGTATATAGCACTAAACAGACACACACAGAGACACACACACCTCTTCAAAGCCCACATCGCAGACTGCTTTTTACGAATTGAAGTAGCAAAGTCATCCTCATCAAAGAGCTTACTGTAAACAGAAACAACACAACAACAAAATCTTAGTTAATTTCAGCTGCAGATAAATCCCAATAGGGGTAATTATAATGGTTAAAACAGGCAGCATACAGTTTTTATACAATATAACACTACATGTTCCTGAGTTACCCAGGCACATACACATCAGAAGGTGAATCGTATTAGTAGCGACTTTTAAGAATGCTGCTAGATTATTCCACAGATTTACATCTCTCCTGTGATACAATTACTTTTTAAGGAAAGGAAGAATACATTGGTAAAAGAGAGGGAAGATACGATACAAGGGGGACTGATAATCTAAAAGTACAAACATTTGTTGAATATTGCTAGGGAGCTGATAATTTACAGCTTTATATACCTGTAACAGAGTATTATATCTTATGAGGTCATCAAGTTTCATAGTGTTGTATTTTAAGAATATATTTGTATGGTCCCTAAAACCAGCATAATGAACAATTTTAATGGCCTTCTTTTGGAGTCCGTATAACTGTATAACTGTACAACTGAAAGTATTTCCCCAAATCTCTGAGCAATAGTTTATGTAAAGCAGGATTAAGGAACAGTACGGGGTGAAAAGAGCTTTTTGGTCCAGAAGAAATGTACACTTGCACATTATGGCCACATTTTTCGCCATTTTCCCTTGAATGTATTTGTGGTCTCCAGCTAACTTCATGACTGATCCCACCCAGAAATGTCTATTCCTTAACTTGTTCAATTAAAGTCAAAATTGACATATCACTATTTAGTTTACAAAATATAATTTGGTGTTTTCATTATGTTCAGTGATAGTTTATTTCTACTGAACCATTCTTTCAGTTTGTATAATTATTTTGTAACCTCTGAGACAAGCAGTTGTAGATCTTTGCCAGAACCAAGAATTCTCTATGAATATACCCACATTAGTACAAATTATTGTCAATGCGATTTCTTTGCTTAGTTTGATTAAGGAATATGCAGTTGACCTGTTGTGTCTGAACCCGTACACACAGTCATTGAGTAAGTTATGTTTATTCACAAAGCTGTCCAAAAAGGTTTTTTCTCTCCAAAATCTTCAATAGTTGTGGATAATTTGTAAATTGATGCTTAATGATTTATAAATTGGAACAACCTCGGCAATCTGCATGAGGTCTGGGAATTGTACAGTTGAAAAGGATAGAAGACATAGAAATACATGTTTTCAAGGCATAGAAAGGCATTTTCAATCATGCAATCTGGGTAACCAGCATTTTTAGAGTCTTTAGACATCGCAAGATGTTAGACTTTCCATAGTCCTTTTATATTGTTTTCATTAACCTCTATCATGTTTATATAATAATTTCCTTTACAATTTTGCATTATACTTGCTAATTTATTCTTATATTTTTTAAGTTCTCTTTTTATAAATGTTTTATATAAGAAGTTCTTTATACAAGCATTCAATAACCTCTTTGTCATCCATGGGACATTTGTTTTTGTATATTTGCGCACTAAGACTGGACAATGTTGATCATATAGATGTTAGATTTTGTTAACAAATTATGTATATGCAATATTAACATCTTGTTTTCCAAGGACATTATTCCAGTCCTGATCTGACAAACTGAAAGCGTTTATCGAGCGCTCAGATATTAACCTTACATTCTTTACCATAAATTGTACTTTTGTTTTTCTGACTTTTCTGTTGTATTTTGTATAGGGTGAAAACTGTTAAGTGGTCACTGATATCATTAATCAGTACTCCACTTGTCATATCGTCAAGAACATTTTTGAAGATATAATCAATGTAGCACCGTGTGCGGTTATCCTTGTGGGGCGTGTGATTAAGTACACCACTGTACATGGTGCACACTAAATTATAGGTGTCTCCACAAATAAAGACATCTCTGTGGTTACTAAAAGTGAATTCAATATGTAGAATAAAACCTTCAAAACCTGCACCTGGTGCTTGTTCATTACAAGAAACTAATATTTTTTCTAGTTTAGCATAATTTAATTCGTCGCAAATTCAAACATATGATCAATTGCCATTGTCATTTTATCACACAATTTCACATTGAAATCTTTGTGTACATACAATGCAACTCCACCACTTAATTTGTATTCTGTTTAGATTGAACATTTAAAACTACTCAAGCTCAAAATATCCAATTTTGTTTTCCTTTATCCATGTTTGTTCAAGTTAGCCTACAAGCTAAGACATTTTAAATGAACTATGCTTTCTTGTTGATTGTCTTCATACTTACAGTTACGACATGCTTGTCGGGGTCCACATCGCTTGGCTGGTTAGTTATATTATTTTTCAATGATAATAGTTCAAGTTCCGTCTCCTGAGTGAAGCTTGTGCAATTGTCAGATGACGATGACATAAGTACTTATTCAGCTCGTATTCCTCCTTCACCCAAATAACTCTTGCCTTCTCTGGAGCCCCATTGAGCTTAATGAAGACCTTGCAGTCCAAGTCCCTTGAATCTTACTTTGTTTCCGTAGTAGCGATGTCAGTGTTTTTCTTATGTATACATTGATGTACACTTTTAGGCGTCTTTTCTTTGGGTAAGGCTTTCTTTTTTTCTATTTATAAATCGCAGAATTAGTATGAGTAACTTATTTTTATGCGGCAACGGGTGACAATACAATCTTCAATTTCCTCGCTATTGAGTGTTATCCCTCGACTTTCCATAAATTGAATCATCTGTTGCTCAACTGTGTCCTGCTTCTTGATGCTCAGCTCTCCGCCTCCTCCTGCCACAGCGGCTTTGGCATAGGAACGCGGTTTTACCACCAGTCGATCAGGCGAGTGTATTGCTCCAAGTCTGTTTATAAAGCCATAATTTTCTTATCCTATTTCAACATTTAGGATCCTTAGATCTCTCACTTCCTGCATTTTTTTATCAAATTTTCTGCATTTCTTTGACCGATGTATTAAGTGTCGTTTTAAAAGTTTCCAAATCACCCTCCATTGCAGCCGCTTTTTTCATTTTCGGCTTTGTCATTAATCCACGGTAAAGAGTGGCTTGTGACTACGTCTCCAGATTCAGTTTATTTGCCATTTGCAGTAAAAAAAACCACATTGGAATACATTAGCAAAAGTCTCCAGTGTGCACAGACAAATACAGACATAAAACAACATTAAAAGACAAAAATAAAATAAAACAGTAAACAAATGTCACTGTGAAATCGATCGACTAAAACAGTTTCAAAACAAGTGCAAATCATTAAAGTGCTCTGTTCACACTGATAACAGCTTGTGCATAAAAACTGTTAGCGTAACGAGATGTCCTGCATCTCAGAGAGCGATATCTTCTGCCAGAGGGAAGAAGCTGGAACATGGCTTTCCCAGGGTGGCCAGAAGAGTCATTGACAATCCTAAGAGCTTTGTTTAAAAGTCTGGATTTATAAAGAACCTCCAGAACAGGAAGCTCACAGCCCACGGTCCTCTTTGCAGAGAGGAGCACCTTGTTTAACGCTCTCTTTTCTTTATCTGTGATGTTTCCAAACCACACAGACACAGAACCAACAAGTAAACTCTCAATGGTGCAGCGATAAAAGTTAAGCAGAATCTTAGAGTTAGTGGTAAATTCTCTAAGTTTACGCAGAAAGTAGAGACGCTGACAACCTTTAACGACTCGGTCAGTGTTTTTAACCCATTTCAGGTCGTTAGACAGAGTTAAACCCAGAAACTTGCACTCCTCTACGATCTGCACCTGGAAGTTGTCGATTACGACAGGCAAATGAGAACTATTGCGACTGAAGTCGTAGACCAGTTAACATGTTTTCGATGCGTTCAACTGGAGGTTGTTAGTTTTACTCCACTGAACCACATTTTGTATCTCTGCTCTATAAGAGGATTCATCAGTGTCACTGATGAGACCGATGATGGTGGTGTCATCAGCATATTTGATGATCAAGTTTGAGTCAGGAGGACACACAATCGTGAGTGTACAAAGTAAAAAGCAAAGGACTCAAAATACATCCCTGAGGAGAACCAGTGCTCACAGAAACAACATCAGAAAAACAGTCATTGATTTTCACTCTCTGAGATCTGTCAGTTAAAAAGCTAAAAATCCATTTACACATGGCAACACTTAAACCGAGAGACATGAGCTTTTCAATCAGTTTACCTGGGACAAGGCAGTTAAAAGAAGAGCTATAATCCATGAAAAGCATTCTCGTGACTAGGGATGTAAAAAACTATGAATTTTCATGACCGACCACCGAGCCTCATTAACCGGTTAACCGCGTAGTTTAAAATAGTCCACGTTCTTTGAAATAACAGCCATTTCGAGCCGCGTACTTTTCATAAGTGCAGCTCTGCGTTCTACTGGATCAGAGTCGAGACAGCGGCGCCCAAACCCGCAACAGCTCTGCTGTGCTGCGGGTTAATTCCAAAACTTTCTAGCAGCAAACGACGGCTCGTTCACATGGTCAGAGCAGCGAGTGACGAGCCGCGTCTCACAGGTCTTCACAAAAGTTTAAATACAAGTGATGTGTGTGGAGCTGATCCCGAGGACCATAAACACAAACATGTTCCATGTGGTTTGACTGGAGCCGCGTATTTGCGCGAATCCTTTGGGCTCCGTGACACAGAGGAGCGCAACAGACCGGTATATGTGTGTGTGTGTGTAAATGTAAGCTCCAATGTAGTTCTGACCCGCGCCAGTGTGCAACTTTGACGGTAACAGAGGGGAGAGATGATGTGTGTGTGTGTGTTGTGTGTGCATATGTGGCTCGTGCGGCGTGAGAGTCGTCCCGGAGTTTATAATACATGGGCGCACACAGCTAGAGACCCGCTCGTCACACCGTGCAAATAGGGCTTAAAATAGCGTTATTAAGAGACCTCCCCTCTCCCCTTTTTCTCTTTTTTTAACCGACAGCTTTGACCGGTTAACCCTGTGACGGTCAACCACCGGTTAAACGGTCGCCGATTTACATCCCTACTCGTGACAGATTTACTAGTGTCCAAGTGACTGTAGACAGAGTTCAGAGCAAAGGAGATGGCATCCTCCACACTCCTGTTCTGTCTGTAAGCAAACTGGAGCGGGTCAACACTCACAGGGATCTGGCTCTTAATGAAGTCCAGCACGAGCCGCTCAAAAGTTTTCATAAGAACAGACGTGAGGGCCACAGGACGATAGTCATTCAGGCATGTCACAGGAGTTTTCTTAGGAACTGGAATGATGGTCGCCTCTTTAAAGCAGTTCGGCACAGTACAGTTCCTTAGCGACAGGTTGAAAATGTCTGTTAGCACAGGGGCAAGTTGCTCAGAGCACATTTTCAGGACACGAGGAGGGATGCCGTCCGGGCCTGGGGCTTTCCGGACTGTGGTCCTGGACAAGACACGCCTGACTTCCTCCTGAGTCACGGTGAAGGTACCTTGATTGAAACACTCAGGGAATACAGCAGGACAGGCATCAGCGGATTCAAAACGACAGTAGAACGTGTTCAGCTCGTTTGGCAGAGCTTGGCCGACAGATGCAATTTTCCCAGCGCTAGGTTTCCACGATGTGATGGCTTTAATACCGTTCCAAATGCGCCGAGGGTCATCTTCCTCAAAATAACTCTTTAACCTGTCCCCGTAACTGCGCTTTGCAGATTTAAAAGAACGTTTCAATGAGTAACAGGATAGCTTATAAGCAACTGTATCATTTGATTGAAACGCCAACGCACGCTCATGAAGTTTCAGTTTCACTTCTGCGTTCATCCAAGGGTTTTGACTAAAATGTTCTTTAATGACCTTCTGTGGGACACAACAGTCAATACAGAAGTGTATGTATCCAGACACCGCGTCAGAATTCATTGACGTCCTCTGACTGAAACACAGACCAGTCCGTAGCATCAAAACAACCTTGTAGCTTCATGCTAGCCTCCTCAGACCAACACTGCACAGTGCGAGAGGTTGGTTTATGTTCCCTGCTCCTCTGAGTATACGAAGGAAGAAGGAGAACAGAGGAGTGGTCAGACTTTCCAAAAGGAGGTCTGAGACTGGACCTGTAAGCTCCCTTCACGTTACTGTAGCAGTGATCCAGAACATGTGCTCCTCTTGTAGCTTGAGTCACATTTTGGTAAAAGTTCGGGAGTACAGTCTTTAAATTACATTTATTGAAATCCCCAGCAACAATGATGACTGCGTTAGGATGAGCAGACTCATGTTTGTGAAGGATCTGGCACAGATCCTGTAGGGCCATTGTGAACAGTGAAAGTTTACAGCTCGCATTAGCTAGAGGCTAAACAAGCTAGTGCTCAGTTTGCTTGCTGGCTCACCGCAGTGTGCAACGAGCCAGCGCCAACTGCAGTAGATAGTAAAAGTCTTTGCGCTGCAAACGTTTCAAGTGCGAGAGACTCTTAAGTTTGTTAAAACAAGCAATAGATGCAATCCAGAGTTCACGAACAGTATGAAAGCTTGTGCTGTGCTGCCGCTGAACCAGAGGTTTGAACCCCTCTCTACAGTCTCTATCCCAGCTGTCTTTATAAGGAAACTGGCTCCAGCTATGTTGTTCAAATCAGCGTCTGTTAGGGCTCACACTGTGGTGATGTCACACTCAGTCCAGTCCTGATATATGCCCTGTAGCAGTAAACTGGTAGAATTCAACTCTCCCTCAAGGTTAGGGTTCAGCTAACACTAACCCTGACCCTCCCTGTGGTGATGTGGATGCTACACTATGGTCTTGTGTGTGCGAGTAAACCCACCTCTGCAGTCCCCTCATGAGCGAAGGCGGCTGCGTGTCGCTGATCCCCACTTTCTGAAGCAGATAGTCCACCACACACGGGTTCTGGGAGCCGTGGCTGCCCCCCAGCAGCCGCTCGTAAGTCAAGGTCGAGTCGTTGGCTACGAGGGAACTTTGGCTGAGGAAGAGGAGTGAGGAGTAGGTTAGATGAGTTTCTATAGGAGAGCTAGGGGCAGCGTACGTGGATATAGAAGTGGACAGTGGGTTCCTATGTAGAGATGCACCGGTATCGGAGGATGTTTGTCTTGTTATCTACCATCAGCAAATACGAATGACATTCGCCGATGGTAGGCGTGTGCAGATACCGGGAGAGGGCGGCCGCGCACTTTCCTCAGTTGAAGAAACAAAGAAGAGGGCGGTCGTGTGGCAATATTTTACAGTAACAGAAAAAGATCAGCGTCAAGCAGTTTGCAATATGTGTTCCAGTGAAATCCAGTGAACGCGGGGTACTTGATGTTTGCTGCACGTACTCAAACAGGATTCCACATCCTCCTGCAGCGTTCTGACCCCGGAACAAAAACGGGGTCCGCTTTGTAATGACAGCGGTTCCCGTATCCAGCGACTGTGAGGTGCTTTGACAACAGCTCAGTGAACACCGTAACGTGGCCATAACCAGACCGTAATCGGACCATAGACTCGCGGCTGTTTCCCACTTGTTATAAATGCGAGTCTTTGTGTAAACTGTGCCGTTTCAAGTGCTGGATTATAAAGCCTCAGGATCATCCCATGTGTTCCCCCGACGCTCAACATTTTTCCTAACATTAATAATGCATGTTGGGTGTACACAAAAGTAAAATGTGGTTTGAACAAATCAAACAATAAAATACAACAGGCCGTTTTGTTTCTTATTTTGCAGACTTAAGAAAATGCATCGGTTTTATATAACGCTTTTTTGGACACTCAAAGACGCTTTACATGTCAATATTCTTTCACTCCATACACGGTGGTGATAAACCACTACTGTAGCCACAGCTGCCCTGGGGCACACTGACAGAAGTGAAGCAACCAGTCTGTGCCATCGGCCCCTCCGACCACCACCAACCATTAACACACACACCAGACTCATTCTAGGCAATGGGGGTGAAGTGTCTTGCCTAAGGACACAACGGCAGTTTGGCACTTTACAGCCGCAGCCGCCCCACTGTGGCTGGTGTTCCCAGAGGTTAAGTGTCTTGCCAAGGACACAATGACATCAGACAGTGGGAGTCGATGGTGAAGGTCGGGCCCGAACCCACGACCCTCTGGCTCAAAGGCCAATGCTGAGAGTGATTTTTTTTAAATATATCTTTCCACAGTTAGTGCCACTTTATTGCCAAACTCTTATTGTATTGGGAAATTATTGTTATTCTCATGTTCTTTCCTATGTTTAAGTTGTATATTTGTTATATTATTCTACTAGAGGTTTATAATAATACAATCCTATGGAAAGCCACAGGTGTCAGCTCTCAAATTATTTAGATTTTTTTTTTCTATCTTCTGCAGAAGCTGAGATATCACATTTTGAATTTTCAGGAAAACTTCAGGTTTTAGGGAGTGGTTCTAAAGTTATATTACCAGGCGTTTTAGCCCTAAAAGGTTTAACAAAACGAATCTCATTGGACATTTGAGAAGCAAGCATGAGGCGGTGGACAGCGACTGCATGCAAGCTGAAGACAAACTGAAAAACTGAAGCTGTTGTTAGTATTAGATAGCAATTTGGCCTACGTGCAGGACTGTACAAGGACTCTGATGATGACTCCATGTTTTGACTATGAAGTGTGACACGTATGTCTTTCCATGTGTGACGTGACAATGACTATATAAACTGTGTACTGACTCCATTCTGTCTGAGAGAAAGAAACAATTGAAACCACTGGAACTTGAGAGAAACATAAATAGACTTCCAGAGTTTGGCGCACCACGATTTGTCTCTGTCTGGTTCATTCCTGACATTGCCAAGAAATACATTTATATAAATAACAAAAACATCAGCCAAGTTGAATTAAACATTTGGTATCGGCCCAAAATTTCACAATCGTGCATCCCTACTCCTATGTGTTTGTTATCATTGGATTTTGTTTATTGGATTCTCTGATCTGTTGTTGTGAATCCACAACTAGTCATAAGCAAGGTTCTAACATCTACCATTAACAGAGTTAAAAGGTTAAAAATGCATATAAAAAGAGATGATCAAAAAAATATTGACAGAAATATTCTTCATAAAGAAACGTGAATATAAGCTGCAAGTTTAACATACAACTGAATCAACAGCTGGAGCACAACTGAGAGACGACAATAACACTAGAACTCAAGAGACAGCTCTGGTCCATCGTACCTGTAGTGAATGGACTGGTACCTGTAGTGCGTGGGCAGGTCCTCTTTGGCGATCACCCCCAGTTTGACATGCTCCAGACCTGGACACAGCACCGCCTGGTGGAGGGACACTGTGATCTTCTCCTGGTATCGATCAATGTCCTTCACTCCAGCTGAAGAGTAAGTTCGATAGATTTATTTAAAACCAGCAGAACACAATACAATTTATTCTTGCATAGCCCTATATCACAACAGAAGTCAACTCAGAGGACTTAACAAAACCATTGAAATCACCAACACAGATCAGAGAATCAACAGTTAAAACACATAAAGAATATAGAACACATGTTAAAAAAAATTCTATACATGTTGTAGAATATTAAAGTGTCCTGGATCATCACCACATTTTAGTTGGACAACTGTCCAACAGAGCTTCCTGCATCGGCAAGGAAAAATTCACACCAACACAAGTACACCTTAGGGAAAGGCAATAATTGTCTGCGATAAGATAAAAATTTCACTTTTGCCGCTTCGCTTGTTTGCCATCTCTGTGCTGCACTCGCCCCACCTACTTTTGCTCCCCCTCGGCCCCTAGCAGCTATAAAGTAAACATGTTCGGAGGAAACAAACTTCTAAACGTCCAAAAAACGCAGAGTGTAGAGTATGACATAAGCACAGGGTGGTGTAGCGTCAGAGTCTGTTGTATTTCATGGTATGGTATGGTTTTCATTTTTACAGGGACAGTGTACAATAAACATTAGCCAGAAGGAGAGATGCATTGTACCAGGTTTTAGCAGCAGTGCTAATTTACACCTGAAGTCCCTGAGGACACGGCACATTTTGTCGTCATTGAACAACATGGCTTTATACCAGAGACAGTTAACTTTATACGCAGCTAGAAACAAAACTTAAGGTTACTTAGCATAACCTCGAGGCAATACTTTGCGATACAAGAACTTCCGCGACTGTACAATACGGAGCGATCGGCTAAGTTGGATTTTTGGATCAGGGTTTTTTATTTTAAACGTAAACTGTAGTTTTTACTCCTATCTAGCGTTGAGATCATATAATTGCAAGTCTACTTCTACCACCAACACTACAGAAGCCTTCGAAGACCATATGTAATTTTTTTCAGTGGTCCCCAACACCTGGTAATTCACCGGACCACTAAGGAAAGAATCCTTTAGTTTGATAAATGACAGGATCTCTCTAAACAACACCGCGTCACAAATATGCATGTACTAGGTGGACATGAAAACAAAGTCTGCGTTGTGAAGCAGCACACGCTTATAATATATAGCTTTACAAATGCAAAGAGGAGAGAAGAGACTCATGGAGGAATGGGAAATATGTGGGAGCTTAATACCACGATGATCAGGAGACCAAGACATTGGACATGGGCACAGCCGCGGCAGAACTGAAGCTCAGTTTATTATCAGCTTTCACCAGGCGCTACATCAGCATCAAGGTAAGAAAACAGAATATTCACTCAAGATGCAGATATTCTGGTGATTGTTTTGCGGGGATTCTGTGCGTTTTGCATATTTGAGGCTCGTCCTTGAATAAGTTTTGTTGAAACTTGTGACATAGTAGTTGGACTCGGATCAGGTCAGAACATCCTGAGACTCGTGTTGCAGATTCTGCCTCAATCTCATTATTGTCAGTGTGAAAAAGTTACGTATTGTTCACACTGTTGTGTACAAACTCCACAATGTGCCTCGTGTTGTGTTAACACTGTCTTTGTGCGTGTTGTTTGCAATGTTTACACTTTGCTGCTATGACACCGGTTTCTAGATTTTTCCATATTTTTTTTCTAAAAGATTGTTGTTTGGGTCATTCTTTTACATAACTGTGGTCCTTCATGATCCCTTTTTGTAACTTGTGGAAACGGTGGAAGCAATGATATCAATAGCACCTGTGAGACGAAAACGGGAGTTAACATGTTTTTGCATTTGGAGCAACTGTAAAAATTTCAGTGCCTTTAAATGCTGCAGAAGCACTTTCTTCCTATACGCACATTAAAGGACGACTAAACACCAAATCAACCTTTTTTAACTCATAAACTGCATAAATATGTTTCTTATAGTGCTCTCTACATATCCTGGTAATTTTTTTTGACATTTTAGTGCAAATTAGATAAAATTTCCCTTTCTAGCCAAAAACTGTCTTGGCCTCTCCATTGGCTCTGGAGTACTGTGTGACGTCTGGCCTTAGCCAGGCAACGCCTGTTGTAACGTCTGGGTCTGGTCCCAGTGTTTGCGATTACAATCGGTTGAATGGGCAGGGCGTAATTATTTTTCAAAACGATTGTTGTTAGGATCGTTCTTTTACATAACTGTGGTCCTCCATGGTTACTTCTTCAAACTTGTGAGGGCGCAGTGAAAGCAACGATATCAGTAGCTCATGTGAAACAAAAACGTGATTCTTGCTTTATTTTTGTCCCTTATCCAACACTGTTTTTCAAGATGGCGCATTGACACGGAGAGCACTCCTCTCTCATGGACACTTATAAGCCTATGAATACAATTCAAAAAACATGGTGGAGGTAAATATTCTTAAAATGGTCACATTTGTCATTCGTTAACATGTTTTTTCATATGGAGCGACTGAAAATTACACAGGGTGGCTTTAATTTATTTCAGGGTTAAATTATATTTTTTGTAAGCAGGAAATTAAAGCAGATGTGACAAAAGCGCTTTGTTCCTTTTTGAACCAACTCTTCTTTGAGATTCAAATAAATAAATAAAAGACATTGGAAATTGGTATATTTGCATTTTTAGTTTTTGGAGGGTTAATTATCCTGTTAAAATAACGTTATATATTGTATATAACGGGATATAAAATTTTATATATATATATATATATATATATATATATACACACATCTATATCGAGATTTTTTTCTCCATTTCGCCCAGGCCTAGTACCCCTCACTCATAATTCATCAAAATAATACAAATATGATGTGCGCACAGCTGAAGGCTCCCTCTCCTCCATGTTCTTTTCTTCAGCACTTTTTTTTCAAACAATGTTTTTATTTCATCAGCTGAATCGTTCCAGAGAGTAACTCCTCACAAGAGCAGGAAAATAAAACCAAATAATGTGTTGTTCTTCAGTAGGACTTACCTCTGATGAAGTCCCCGATCTGGTAATAAGACAGAGGGTCATCATGGCTGCCGGACGAGGGGATCTCTCTGATGTGACAAAGAGCCTGCGAACAACAAGTCGTTTTAAACCAGAAGGAAAGAGGTGTTAAAACACATTCATAGATTCTCATTCAATGTATTTGCCCTAAATCACAAAAGCAGTCGTGTCGGAGGACATTTATGGATATTATGGACCAATGGCTCCTATGTGTTTGTTATTATTGATGCATTTCCAAAATGTATGATTTTCTGATCTGTGGTTGGTGAATCCACAACTTTGTAATGTCCTCTAAAACGACACAATAAGGAGTTACAGGTCTGTGAGAGCCAGTAATCTTGCTTGTTTGTAGATGACCAAATTCTTTATTTCAGCATGATTTGCAAATCAGATGTGATTCGGTCTCTCATAGTTGAGATATACCTATGATAAAAACTACAGGCCTCCTTCATATTTTTAAGTGGGAGAACTTGCACACTTGGTGGCTGACTAAATACTTTTTTGCCCCACTGTACATGGATTGTAAAGCTCCGTCTGACTGGACCAGCTGACGGTTATGGATCTAATCCATCTTTAATACCAGGATGTGGTGTATATGGGGAATTTTTCTCTGTATTTCTAGTGGTCGCCATAAAAACAGGGACCATCTCCATAAGTTGATGTTTTTCAGAACCAGAGCTGGAGGATTTCACTTATTGAACATGCTCTTGGTGGTAGGGAAAACCAGAGCACCTGGAGGAAACCTATGCGAACAAAGGGAGAACAAGCAAGCTCCAGTCCAAAAGACCTTGTTCTAACCAGGTTTTGAAGACAGAACCTTTTTGCGAATAAGCGAGAGTGCTACAGTTCTCAAATAATTCTTTTGTTAAGCCACTTTCTACAGACGGGAAGAGCTTACAGAGACGTCCAGGTCCTCGATGTCCCTCTTCATGCCGGCCGCGGTGCCGAGCAGAGTGAGGAAGAAGCCGTACTCTCGCACATTGTTGATTCTTCCCAACACCACGTCGCCCTTCTCCAGGTCTCTGTACAACATCGCCCTGCGCTCCTCATACGGCACCTCCATGAAGAGCTCCAGAGGAGGCAGCCGACCATAGGGCTCTTGAGACACACACATACACAGACACACACGGTTTTAGCCCACTGTCTGTGTTCATCCATTCATTTTCTTCTGCTTCATCCATTGCCGGGTTGCGGGGGCAGATGTCTAAGCAGAAACGTCCAGACTTCCCTATCCACACACACACTTATCATCCAAGGGGACCCCAAGGCGTTCCCAGGCCAGTTGAGAGACATAGTCCTCCAGCGTGTCCTGGGTCTTCCCCAGAGTCTCCCTATCTCTAAGGGAGCACCCAGCCACTCTGTGGGGGGAAACTCAATTTGACCGCTTGTGATCTCGTTCATTCGGTTATTACCCAGAACTCATGACCATAGGTGAGGGAGGGAATGAAGATTGACTAGTAAATCGAGAGCTTTGCCTTACAGCTAAGCGCCCTCTTTACCACAACAGTCGGATAGAGCTCTGACCGCAGACACTGCTCCCTCTTCACTATAATGGTCTGATACAGCGACTGCGCACGCTGCACCAATCCGCCTGTCAATGTCACGCAATGTGGCTTTTGGAACCTCCATCCATCCATCCATTTTCTACCCTTTAATCCATTTCTGGGTCAGAGGGGTGGCAATAAGAGATGTCACCCAAGTCTCATAGCACCAGCCCCTCACTGACCCTCTGCAGGTGGTGAGTCCACAGGAGGACGGCTGCTCTCTGAGTGTGAGCATAGCCTTGATCTTTCAGTGGGGGCTTTGGGCAAAGTGGGGTTAAGTGTCTTGCCCAAGGACACAACGACAGCAGTCATCAGTGGGAGTCGGTGGAGAAGGTGTAGAGGTATGAATTGAACCCACGACCTTCAGGCCTGAAGGCCAATGCTCTACCAACTGAGCTACTGTCATGAGACATTAAAACGCAGGGTTCTCTCAGCGTCCCTCTGACATCACAGGTTCAGTTTGATCAAAGCTCCACAGAGGAAAAGACAAGGTTTACCCTTTCCTCAACCAGAGACTTTATACTTTATACTGTCAGGTTGATTCCAGAGTGGTAGATTCCGCACCTGTCGTTTCCTCTTCCTCATACTCGGGTCTCTGGGAGTTTGGGACTCTCCAAGAGCGACTGAAGAGGAGGTCAGCTTTGCGGGCGATAAATTGCTCCACAAGGCCACTGGTGCTGTTCCAGTCAGTCTTTCTGCTCGAAAACAAACATGTGTTTAACAGAGACTCCCCATTACAGAGGATGGACTGATATTAGTATATGTTATTCCCCTAGAGATACCCCGTTCCTTCAGCTATAAAACTGTACAACAGATCTATTCCAACCGGGCCTTTCTGATTGGAGTTTGCATGTTTTCACCATGTCTGGTGGTTTCCCCTTCCACTAAAATCATGTACAATAGGTCTGGCATGCACCTTCTGTACTAGCGACCCTGCTCCCATCTCTGTATGGAAAGAGACAAATGCCCACATTTGTAAACCACTTTGTGACTATGGTCTGCGAAAGATTACCTACTCACTTCCTTACTTATTGTTGTTGTGTAGTATAAAGTATTTTTTTTTTATTAATGTTTTTGCTGCTGGAAGCCTGTATTCCTCCTACAGGGATTGAACAGTCAATCATTCATTCACTCAACCAGTAGTTGCCTCGCTTCAGTCAGTGTGCCACATTGACTGTTGTGTGCCAGCTGGGGCACACTGAGACATGAATGAAGTCTTTGAATGTCCAAAAAACCCGCTATATAAAGCAATGACAATGATGCATGTACTGTATGTATGTCTCTATAATGGCAGACAGTGCAGACCCCAGTTCTCACCTTTCCTGTATGGCTTTGCTGAGGTCCACCGCCACCGCCTGGAAGTCTGGGTTCTCGATCTGTTCAGACTGGAGCTTCTGGAACAGTGACGCCCCGTGGAAACTCACACATTGCTTCAACAGTTCTCGGTCCATCCTGTCGCAGTCACATTCTCCCACAAAGGCTGCTCGCGTCACACACACACATAACACAGGCCACGCTACTGCCTTCAAAACTATCAACACTGCGTTAGCTCATGGGGCTAGACCGAATGTGTAGTTTAGCTTAGCTTTAGCTTCGCGTAGTTTGTGCAGGATTTAAGCAGCTAACTTAGACAAATAAACACTTAAAGAAGTAGTTTGGCCTCAAAGCTCTAGAAAAAACAAGATGAATAATTAAAGGGTATATTCACATAGCAGAGATAAACTCAAAACAACCGTGTACGTGGATCAAGCAGGGTTTAGCGTCCAAGGCAGTACGCATGCGTGCAATGTGTTACCATTAAATTGTTCAAAGAAACAAGTATACGTTAAGTAGTTCCTACTGGTTGTATTTCAACGTCTTCTTTGTTTGTTTTTATACATTCAAACAAAATAAGAGTATATTCAAAGATATGCTTTAGGGACGCACATAAGCTCACGTTAATTTGTCCATATGTTGAGATTGCGATTAATATATACATTGAGGTAACAGAAAGCCAGTTATTATAGTATTTTTACTAAAGCAGTTTAAAATGTTATGTTGGGAAAAATCTTGATCAGATGTACTCTTAACTTGTTTATCATTTAATGTTTTGTAATTTTAAAATAAACATTCTATCACATGTTCAGTTGTTTTTTTGACAGAAACAACAAATGCACACTGTCCCTGTTAAAGTAAATAAAAAATATATAATGCACTGATTAATTAACTGACAATATACTGGGTAAAAGTTAAGTGTATGAATCTTATCTCAATATTATCATATTAAATGTTCCATATTGAGCTCTTCTTCATGTTTCACAGTCCATCCTATGCACATGTGTGATAATAATTTGAGTGACACCATACAGCAATCAAAACTTGTGAGGTTGTAGCAATTTCTTGCATAGACTAACCCGTTGTCTTTTTGCGCAATCTGAGCGATTCTATCTATGCCATATGTAACCAGTGTTGGGAACATTATTTTGAAAAAGTAATTAGTTATAGTTACTAGTTACTTCTCCTGAGAAGTAACTGAGTTAGGGTTAGATATACTGTGTAATCTATACAGTCTATGCAATGTACGCATACATGTTGAGAGGGTGATTGGTTTAGTACGCAGAAAATATGTCATGCTACAAAGTACTTTGTCGATCCATTTGCTAACAACCAAGGTTGGAGATTCTGTAGCACCAATTGACAAGATTGTAACTGTATGCTGTGCCCTAACAAACCTCAGAATCAGAATCTGTTGTTCCTTTTGATTAATTCAAGTCTGCCAAGCTCATCTTTTTTACTAATCAGACAGTAAATATTTATTTTCCAACATGATCAAGCTAAGCTGTAAATTTGAGTGATACGAAAAAACAAAAACAAAACACATCAATATTTCTCATAAATTGTAGGGTCTAGTGCAGAAACCACATATGTGACTTGTCGGAAATCTCAAGACATGATAGTTGTGTGAACTTTTGAAATTAAGGTCTTAAGACAAAGTTTGTGGTTATTTTGAATCACTCCATGAAAGCCCAATTTTTGGCCCATAAGTTAGAACGGCGGAGATAGGCGTGACTACGTCCGTTAATATATACAATCCATGGCACAGAGGGGCTCCGCCGCGCTCTAACCGATCGGCGCTGCCGATCAGAGCGGAGCTAGAGCGGGAAGAAAACAAGCATAGTTTGTTGCATTAAAGTGTGGATTTAAACAAAACCAATTTGACAAAAAAAAGTTCAGGATGACAAGGGACACTAAAATCCCCAAAAAGTCCAATTTTGTTAAAGCTGCAGGTTCTCTGTCAGCTGAGGTCGAGCCATTTTAGTTTACATTGAGTTCTATGGGATATTGTTCAGGGTAGCCTGCGTGAATTTAGTCTGCAGTACCACGTGCGCCCCCTGTGCCCACTTGTGGGATAGCTATAAGCTAGTGTCAGGGATGAAGCAGACAGAGACGGATCGTGGTACGCCAAACTCTGGAAGTTTATTTAAGTTTCTCTCCAGTTCCAGTGGTTTCCCTTGCTTCTTTCTCTCAGACAGAATAAAGGCAGTACACAGTTTATATAGTCATTGTCACGTCACACATGGAAAGACGTGCAACACAGAGACAGTCACATCATAGTCAAAATAATCAGAGTCCTTGTACAGTCCTGCACGTAGGCCATATTGCTATCTAATACTAACACTCACCCCTTTGATCACATAATCACATGTGATCACTCAATTTGATCAATCAATAAAGTGGAAAAAGAAAAAAAAAAATCGAAAAAAAAACTTTTAAAAAATTATTAAAAACAAAGAAAATGTATGCATTGAACTCATAATCATCAAATCAATATCAGTGGATTTTATCCTCTATCCTGGGAAAAAAAACCAAAACAAAAAAGTAAATAAATAAACAAAAAACAAAACAAAAATAAAAATAAACACTATTGGACACAGTAGAACTCAGCAGATTCAGTCAAAACACAGACAAAAACAAGCTGAGTCTCAAATTAGAAGCTCATTTAACTTTTATTACTCTACTATTATTCTAATGATAATTGTTTACACTTCACTTAATTCCCTGTATTATTATCACTTTTCAATCTTAGACTGTGTACCTTCTAATCTATTTACAAATATGTTTGCATATTTGCTTTTATTGAGCCATATTCTTAAACATACATTTTAATCTAATAAATCTCTCTGTAGTTTTATACTTTCATTATCAGTGGCTTTGTGCTAATGGGATTTTGCTCTATGTCTATTCTAGATTCTCAGGAATAAAACTGAACACAGAAAGACAAATGGTTAATATAAACATTATTACAAATACATTTGTTGAACCAGGAAGTGCTGTCACTTCCTCCTCTCAGGCAGTTTGGGATGGATGTACATCATTAATCAAATTAGTATTATCCTTACAAGAGCTAATCTATTTTAGCAGGTTTGGGGTTGGGGTCAGTTATTCTACAATGGTGTTTGATTCTCTAATCTGTGCTGGTGAAACAACAGCTTCTCAAAGATGCTTTTGAATCTCTGTTGGTTCTAATCTATCTCATTGATCTAGGCATTAATTTAGGCTACACTCATATGAACTTTTTGCATTGCCAACATTCACTCATGTTTGAACACAAGTGAATTTGGCAAGTATCTAATAAAACTGTAATGAACTTTATCTACTTTTGAAGTAAAGGTTTGTGAAATGGTCCCTTTACCATTTGATATTACCACTGGCTAAAAATAATCTCTATTTTATGGTTGATGCATTTATCTAATTCTTTTTTTACACTATTTTTCACTCTAAAGCTTGGTTGCAGCTTGAGCAAAGGCATATTTCTAATTTGTGACTTCTGTCACTTTTAATATCTCTAAAATAATTCTGATTCTAATATTTTAGCTTCTCTATCAGAAGGATGACATTGTATGGTACTATTTGAACTCTTACGTTGAAATGTGTTTATGAACAACAAAAGAAGTCAAATTCTACTTTTTTACTACTATTTAACATCTAATAAAACGCTACAATACCCATACTTTATCATTTAAAAAAAATTTAACAGTTGCTCAGTCTCCCAGACTAAAAAGTCAAAGTTTTGGCTGTCAGATGTCTGAATACTTGTATTGCATTTGGTCACAGTTGTGGTTCTGGTTGTAGCAATAGCATCGGCAATAGACGTTTTTCATTGGCTGGTTCTTGTTCGCAAATGGCTGTGTCCAATAGATCATCAGATGTCCAGAAGCTAGGGACAAACAAAAACAAAAGAAAGAATCATGCAGCCAGCGAAAATTCAATTTGGTAGACGTTAACCAAAATCCAAGCCGGCTCGCATCCCCAGCCTATCGCTCAGCAGACGCCCCCTTCCAATCATCTGTACCGACTACGCCAGCCGCATAAAAACGGAGAAACTCCCACTCTCGGCCTCTGAGCCTTGCAAGCCCTTGAAGCCTTGCAGAGAATCGTCTGGAGGAATCGTTTTCGTCTACTCACGCTACTCGGCGCGACCCTGGCGTCCTCCGTCTGGCTGCTCGTGGTCTGCTCCTCCTCTGCGCGTCTCCTCCTCCGCGTCCCTGCACCTGCTGTGGTTCGCGTATCTCAACTGCTCTCCTCCTCTGCGGGCTCTTTCTGCGGGCTGCTCCGCGGGGCCCTCCGCGGGTTCTGTGCGGCTCGTTCCTCGTGGTCTGCTGCCGCACGCAGAAGGTCTGGCGGTGCCGTGCGTGTCCCTGCCTCGATTCGCGGTGCCGCGTTGTCCCGTTGCTTTCCCAAGTCTCCTGGCATGTGAGTACAGTGAGTGTGCCGACCGGACGGATTAATCCCGGAGTTTTGGGCTGCAGGCGATTGGTTTTTGCCCCGCGCACTTGACTGCAGGCGTCAGTTTTTTTCGCCCCGTGCTTGGTCTGCAGGCTCCGTTTTCACATGTGTCTGAGCTAACCGAGGGGCAATGCATATTAAATGGCATCAATCTCTATCGTCTGTGGGATATACGAGGAGCTATGTGCATTAATTCAGATTCATGTTCTGCCACTTGCAGTAAAACCATGCATTTAAATAGCTAGGTCACTGGTATTAAATTGGGTAACTAAACTGCAGTTGTCGCATTTTGAAAGTGCAGCAGAAAGAAAAAGGGCCCAACGTGAATCTGCAATGGGTGTCGGTTTTTTTTTCCTCAGGCTGTTAAACAACCATGGGCATGGTTCTCTGACCGCCGCTGCTGCCGGTCCCCGCTGCCGTTCCTACTGATGCCTGATCCCGCCGCCGCTGTTCCTGCTGCCGCTCCTGCTGCTGCCTGTTCCTGCTGCCGCTCCTGCTGCTGTCTGTCCCTGCTGCCTGCTCCTGCTGCTCCTACTACTACATGTGCCGCTGCTGCTGTTCCTGCGCTGCCGCTCCGCAGGCTCCCAGACTGCACCCGTCTCTACGGCTCGGCTCTTTCAGACACGTACGTAACCTGGCTCACGGAGACAAGCGGCGCACGCTGGCGCGACACGTCTGTTTGTTC